GCATCTTGAATAACCCCCTTTTTATTTACTCCAATAATTGGCAACTAGCATTGAGTTGTACCATCTGTACAAGTTATAAACACTTAAAAGTAAAAGGTATGGTACCTTTTCCCCTAATTACTAATAAAACAAGTTCCCCTTTTATTTTGTTAGATTAATATGTTTGTTCAATTCTAATTTGTGCACCTAATAAGTAATAATTGACTACTTAATGATACACAAACTTTTGTGTGTGAATTAGAATGTCCATTAATGAAATTTTATGTAGTAACATTTGTAAGAAACAAGTGAAAGCCACAAGAGTTTAGGAATGAGAAACAAGCTCTTGGTTGAAGTAACCACAACTAGCATAGTTAAGGTGATAGTTAGGTTGATGTAATTGAGTTGAATTTATGATACTACCTACGAACAGGAAATCCAAAAGAAATTCACGAATTCAAATTGAATGATTAAATTTAAAATAAACCATGAAGGCCAAAAGAAATTTAAACATAACCAATTGGACAGGAAACAAAATTGAAGTTACAAAAATTACCTTTAGAATGCTAGACGAAATAGCATTCAAAATTGTGAATTTCCAAGAAAAGACATTCAAGAGGCATATAAGTCTCAACCTATCGAAGCAACCACATCACAGAAGTCTTCAGAGCCAGATGTCTCCACATGTAGATCAGTTTCTGAATAAGCATCCGAAAATGTAATGTGACCATCATCTCCTTTCACACCTTCAACAACTTCATCGGGAAGTAATTCATGCATTACCTCAGCAGATATCAAACCCAAATTTCTCATCTCAATCCATAGTTCAATAACTGAATTCAAATGATATGGTCTACAGAGGAATTTTGATAATCTCAAGACCGTATTGTAGCTCAGTCGTACTTTCGCTTCAATCATCTCTTGTAGAATTAAATTAACCATATTAAGATCTCTTTCTTTAACAAAGCCAGAGACCATTACATTGTAAGTATATTCATTAGGAGTCAAACCAACCTCCTTCATTTGGCGATAAAGTGAACAAGCCTCTTCAGTTCTACCACCCATAAAAAGTCCACGAATGGTAACTGCATAAGCTACAACATCAAGTGCATATCTCTCTGCAACTACTTTCTTAAATATGCTAATGGCTCTATCAAATTTACGAACCTTTATAAGCCCATCTATAAGAACAGTATGAATATGAGCATCCTGACCAGGGTAATTCATGACAATCCCATGGTACACATCAACTGCTTGGTCAACTCTTCTAGCTTTACATAGTCCACTTAATAATCCAACAAAAGTATACTTATCTGCTGTAAAACCTCTATCGAGCATAACCTTATAAAACTTCACAGCCAGAGCTGGAAACCCCGACTTACAGAAATAACTGAGAAGTGAGTTACATACTAATAAGTCAGCTTCTATGTCAAGTCCGCAAACCAACTTGGGGAACAGAGAAAACCTCCTAGAAGAACATATGGCGGATAACAATGAACAGAAAGTATATGAATCGGGAGACAATTTTCGTGATCGCATGTCAACAAAAACATCAATAGCATCATCGTACCTCCCAACCTTAGTGAGGGAGTCTATTAACACATTACAAAGAACCAGATCAGGGGCATCTCCTTTAGATTCCATAATACTTAAAACGTTGAATGCATCGCCAACCATGTGAGACTTTAAAAATCCTCTGATTAAAGTTGTGTACGTTACAATAGTAGGAGAAGAACCAGTCTCAACCATCTTTTCCAATAATTTACCAGCAACATCAAGTCTCTGCAATCGACAAAACCCATGAATTAACATACTCCAAACATTTACAGACATAGAGATGCCCAAAGTAATCATTAGACCCAAAACTTGATGTGCCTCCACTATATTACCCATTTTGCAAAAACAGTTCAAAAGCATCTCAAATGTCTCAACTTTTGGGTGATACCCCCACCGCAACATCATTCTCAACACATCTCCAATATGGAACAAATCATTGAACTTACATAAATTACACAGCATAATATTAAAAGTCAAAAAATTTGGCACTGGTGTCTCTTCCAGAGACTTAATAGCTAAATCACCACGCCCAATTTTGAACGATACATCAATGATTACATTACGCACAAACGTGTTCGGAGTAAAACCATAAGCACCCATTTGCTCAATTGCCTCAAAGACCATCTCATACATTCTGCCACGCCAATAAATCCTCAGCAAGAGCAAAAATGTCTGAGATTTTATAACACACCCTACACTTGCTAATTCCCTAACAACCGATTTAACTGTTTTGTACCGTTCCATCACGCGCTTGATCACACCAACCATGTGGTCAAACACAATCCTATTGTGAAAAAAATTAGGTTGTTGAGCACACCACAAGAAGAATCTCAGTGCAATCAAATCCGAAGGACAGTTCAATAAAGTGGAATGCACATTCTGATGAGTGAGAGTGAATTTACTTCTTTCTGGGTCAAAATTTTCCAGGAAAATTTTCTTGGTTTTGTTAGTTGGGCATACCTTTGGAGATGAAAAGTGGCAGATTGGCAACATGCGCAGTGCTCTGATGATTTGGTTTGGCCCTTTGTGTAGAAAACACAACCTAAATCTCCATACTTTTTCCATCAAAGTCTGATTTTTCCTGCAAACCAAGCACTACTTAAGAAATTTACAAGAGGGGGTGAAATTACTTTTTGGTCCCATATATACACAAATTGAATGAAAATGAGAAGGTATATATAGCATTGTAATAAAAACTGAGTGACTATATAAAATTTTGAATGTCCCTACGAATAGAAACGGCCTTGTTAATAAGGATAGGAGTAGGAGATGGAAAGCTTTGGTAGGCAACTATATCTCCGATGATAAGGAAAAGAAAGGTAGGGTAGTTTCAACAAATGTTACATCTAATAAAATTTGAATGCTTCCAGTTCATTTTGCAATCGTTTGTTGTTCCACCCAGCATACTTTCTGTAACTCAATCTCCCCTGATATTAAAATTGCCCTATTTTCCCCACAATTCTTTTCCTTTTGAGCGATCAATATTCAATAGGAAAAAACTAAATAAATAAATGCACTTACTTTCATCTGCCCACCACTGAGAGCCCGTGAAAATCTGGGTTACTGCAGCTTGTATGAAATGAAGCTTTAGCTGAAAAATCAATAGGTTTTGGTTGGGAGCAAATAAGCAAAACAAGCCTCCAAGATTGGCTGTGAACTGCTGAACTGGGACTGTGAGGTGAGTGAGGTTCCAAATACATCTGCCAACACACCACCTGCTACAATCAATAGTGGCTAAACTAATCACATGCACCATATAATTAAAGACTTGATATTTCAGCTAAGATATCCAGATATTGCTTCAAACTACAAAAAACATGGTGAAGATGAAAACTCCAAGCCCTTACTATGGTGACGTTGAAAGTAAAGCAAGCAAAGCATGAAGAGAAAGAGCTTGAAATACCTGAGGAGGAGAGGAGCCGATTGAAGAACAAAAATGGAGGTGAGGTGGGGTGTTGCGGTGGGTTTGAAGTGAAACAATGAGGAGGAGGAAGAGAAGCGACGTTAGAGAAATGGAGTTGAAGACGGCTGGGCAAAATATGGGATTTGGATTGGACGCCTAGGCGTTTCGTCGGGCTGGGCTACTTGCTTGTTGGCTAAAAGATATAGCTACAAAAAAGTTTTGGGCTCAGCAAGACTATGGTCGGGCTGGTAGATGAGGTATATGGCAGCTCCAAGGCTAGCCCCTAGGGTTTCTGGCTAGCTTCAATGGCTCTTAGCAGTATTTTTTTTTCGTCTTCTAATTTTAAGAAAATAAAACGTTTGTAAGTGATATAGGGACGATGAGGATGATACTAATATAGGTGCACATGTGTTTCAATATAAGTGGACAATGGACTCGTAATTTCTGTTTGTTAGATGTTATTAGGGCTGGGCATTTAAGCCAGTAACCCGGTCAAACCGTCCAAACCAAACTGATAGTTTGGGTTGATTTGGTTTTTAATTTTTTTATTATTTATTATTGGTTTGAACTCAAATCAAACCAAAATATATGGTTTGGTGTATGGTTTGTAATATTCAAAACCACGGTTTAATCAAACAAAACTGATAGTATTAAAAAAATATTATATATAATATTATTATAAGAAATATATTATATACATAGTTTCAATCTTTTCTTTTTCTTCTCTCTCCATCTCTCCGTTTGTCTTGTCTCCATCAGTCCCTCTCTCTCTATTTTTTTTTTCCTTCTTACATCTATCTTCACTCCCTCTCCCCGTCTCCCTCTTTTTTTTTTCTTTTTTTTCCTTCTTCTTGTTCTTCTCCATCTCTCCCTTTTTTTTTTTTTTTTTT